CTAGAGATTCGGAGCGGAAAGGTCCCAGAGCAAGCACTGCAGCCTCTAGATTGGCTGCAGTGACTGCTACCATCTTTAGGGCCAAAAACCCTCAAAATATTAGGGATTTATGGGGAGGTAATGGCCTAGTGGTATTATTGCTGGACTGTTAATCCAGAGACCCAGGTAATGTTCTGGGGACATGGATTCATCCTGTCATGGCAGATAGTGGAATTTGGATTCCATTTTCAAGTCTGGAATTAAGAGTCTAAAGATGACCATCAAACTGTTGTTGATTGTTGGAAAAACCCATCTGGTTCACTAATGTCCTTTAGGGAGAGAAACTGCTGTTCTTACCTGGTCTTGAGTACATGTGATTCCAGACCAACAGCAATGTGGTTGACTCTTAACTGCCCTCTGGGATGGATGATAAATGCTGGCGTAGCCAGTGACAAGAAACAAACCACAAAGAGCCATATCAGTCAAACGTTTGAGAGTGAAGGATGACCTGGAATAGGTTGTGAAGCCTTTGGAATGGGTTTTCAGGGTATAAAAATCTCTCGGACCAGAACAGGTTCAGGGAGATGATGACTGAGGAAGGGCTTGACAGAATAAAGCAGTCAGAGTAAACTAGGCATGTGACTACAAGCTAAATCAAAATAAATCATTGACTGTTGCACATTGGGACTCAAAATAGTTTGTGAATTAAGTGTAATTTAGCCCTCAGTCTGAACTCTTGTATTGATTTTTTTTAAAAAAAAATATTTTCATTCTAATATCTAATGTCCACATTTTGTTACAATCTATTTGTATAATCTTGCCATACTGTACTGGGTGTTGCTACTAGTGGTATATCATAAATGTGGGCATTGATTTCTGGAAGAAGTATTAACAGGAAAACGTGTATCTGCAAGATTTTTACCTCATAAAGATCGGCCCCACTCCTCTCTCAAAATCCTCACATGACCCGTGCCAGCAGCTCTCGTCCATCTCCAGTCTTTTCATAAAATATCTGGAATACCTTAAAACCCTTCTGGTTCATTAACGTCTTCCAGGGAAGGAAATCTGCCTGGTCTGGCCTACATGTGTCTCTTGACTCTCAGCAATGTGGTTGACTTTCAACTGCCCTCTGAAATGGCCTAGCAAACCACTCAGTTGCTTTATTCTGTCAAGCCCTTCCTCAGTCATCATCTCTCTGAGCCTGTTCTGGTCCAAGAGATTTTTACACCCTGAAAACCCATTCCAAAGGCTTCACAACCTATTCCAGGTCATCCTTCACTCTCAAACATTTGACTGATATGTCTCTTTGTGGTTTGTTTCTTGTCACTGGCTACGCCAGCATTTGTCATCCATCCCAGAGGGCAGTTAAGAGTCAACCACGTTGCTGTTGGTCTGGAATCACATGTACTCAAGACCAAGTAAGAACAGCAGTTTCTCGCCCTAAAGGACATTAGTGGCGCAATGAAATCTCAACAAAGAAATGAAACCATACAGACCAATAGGCATCAACCTAAGCCCAGTTTGGATTCCACCAAAGTCATTGTCTCCATACTTCATTACAGCCTTTGTTCAAACATGGCCTAAAGAATTGAATTCCAGAGGTGAAGGGAGAATGAAAGCCCTTGACATCTAGGCTGCTTTCAACTGAGTTTGGTAATATGGAACCCTGACAAAGCTGGAATCATTGGGAATTGAGGCAGACTCTCTAGTGTTTGGAGTCATTCCTAGTATAAAGGAAGATGGTTGTGATTGTCAGAGGTCAGTCATCTCAGCCATCTCTGCAGGAGTTCCTCAGGTTAGTATCCTAGGCCCAGCCATCTTCAGCTGCTTCAACAGTAACTTTCACTCCATCATAAGGTCATTGATGATTACACAATGTTCAGCATCATTTACGACTCGGATACAGAAGCTGTCCATGTTCAAATGCAACAAGATCGGGACAATAGCTAGTCTTGGGCTGGTAAATGGCAAGTAACATTTGTGCCATACAAATGCCATGCACTGACTATCTTCAGTAAGAGACCATTTAACCACCACCCTTTCACATTCGTGGTGTTATCATCACTGAATCCCCCACTATCAACATCCTGGGGATTACCATTGACCAGAAACTCAACCGGAATAACCATTTGCATACAGTGTCTGCAAAAGCTGGTCAGAGGTGAGGAATATTGTAATGGGTAACTCACCTGACTCCTCAAAGCCTGTACACCATCTACAAGGCACAAGTCAGGACTATGATGGAGTACTCCCCACTTATCTGTGTGAACCTAACTCCAATAACCGGGCAAAGCAGCCTACTTGATTGGCTCCACATTCATAAGCATCCACTCTCACCACCAGCGATGTACTAGTTACAAGATACACTGCAGAAATTCACCAAAGATCCTTAGTCAGCACCTAACAAACCCGCACCCGCCTCTATCTAGAAAAACGAGCGGCAGTTACATGGGATCACCACCACGTGCAAGTTCCTCTTCAATCCATTCACCATTCTGACTTGGAAATATATTGCTGTTCGTTCACCTGTTGCTGGGTCAAAAAAGGATATGGACTGCACTGGTTCAAGAAGGCATCTCACCACCTTCTCAAGGGCAGTAAATGCTGGCCAGTCAACCAGCAATGCCCATGTCTTATGAGTGAATAAAAAAAGAAAAGAATGAGCGGTGATCTCATTGACCAAATACAGATATTTAAAGGGATAGGTGAGATAGATGCAGGTGAGAAGATCCCCTAGTTAGAAAGCCTTGAACTAACGGATGCGACTCAAAAATAAGGAGCAATGCCACTTAGGGCCAAGATGAGGAGAAATTCTTTTACTCAGAGGGTTGTGAATCTTTGGAATTCTTTACCCCAGAGGACAGTGAAAGCTCAGCCTATGATTTGGTTTAAATGAGAGATTCATATCTTTCTGATTATCAATGCCTTAACGGGTTATGGGGATATTGTGGGTAAAAGGCATTGAAGTGTTCAATCAGCCAAGATTGTGTTGAATGGAGGAAGAGGTTGACAGACTAGCCAATTCCTTTTTCTTTATTTATGTCACATCGGGTTGAATTTGTTAAATCCCATGCTTTAAATGTGCGTTTATTTGGATTTTTGCTTGTGATTTTGAAATCAGAATTCACAGTTCAGCAACCTGTCATTTTTTTCTTGCTTAAACAGGACACATTGAACTAAAAATCCTTTTGAACTAAAAATATGCGCTCCTGATGTTAGAATTGAATATGAAATATCAATTTGCCAATTTAAATAATTTATCATGCGTATTATGGGAAAGATTCATTTTTAAAGTAAGATTGAATATAAAAGAGAATATCGTGTCCAACCATGCTTGATTGAAAATTCTATTAGTACTGTAACAGATGTTGCAGATATCTTTAAATCCAAAACTTTCTTAAGTCACATGGTGTGATAAGACTGGGTCATCATCAGATGATATTTGAACGTGCCTCTCAACAGCATATCCTTACAAAGTGATGGTTCTGTCATTGTTGTGTTGAGCAAATAGTTCTTTACTAAAAGAGACAGGAGGACCTGCTGAAAACTTAAGGAAGAAATTCCTTTTGCAATTTATGAAATTGCCTCCAGGATCCAGTTGTCACTATGTTGTCTGCACTTGCTCAAAGGCCCAGAGAATACAGAAATTATTTTATATAACGGCAAGCCTATTGAGTTCACCTCCACAAGAAGTGGTGAAATGAATAGGGAGAGATAGTGGTATAGTGGTCATGCCTCTGGTTAGTAATACATTGACCCAGGCAAAGATTCTGGGGATATGAGTTTAAACCTGACCATGGCAGCTGGCAGTAAATTCGATTCTCAAAATCTGGAATTGAACGTAAGTCTCAGTAATGCTTAACGGGAAACTATTATTGATTGTCGTAAAAGCCCATTTGGGCCTCTGATATCCTTTTCAGTCATACAGGTCCACAGCACAGAAAAAAGGCCCTTTGGCCCATCACAAGGTGGTCACATTGGAAGTCTGACCCAATAAGACCATAAGAAATAGGAACAGGAGAAGGCCTTTCAGACCCTCAAGCCTGCTCTGCCATTCAGTAAGACTATAGCTGATCCAACATTCCTCACATCCACTTTCCTGCCCTTTCTCCATAACCCCTGACTTCCCCTATTGATCAAGAATCTATCTCAGCCTTCAATGTACGCAAGGACTCTGTCCCCACAACAATCTGCGGTCATCACAAGGTGGTCACACTGGGGTTAAAGTCTTGATCGGTCATGAGGTGGCCACACTGGGGTTCAGTCTCCGACCATCACGAGATGGTCACTCTGGTTCAGTCCCTGACCATCGCAAGGTGATCTCATAGAGGTTCGAACCCTGACCATCATGAGGTGGTCACATTGGGGTTCGGACCCTGACTGTCATGAGGTGATCCCACAGAGGTTTGAACTCTGACCACCACGAGGTGGTCACACTGGAGATTGGACCCTGTCATCATGAGGTAGTCACACTTGAGTTCAGTCCCTGACCATCACAAGGTGGTCACACTGTGATTCAGATCCTGACCAACACTGCAGCAGTTAATTCAACTCCAGTTGAGCACAGATCAGCTCTCACTTCCCAAATTTTTTGACTTTTACAGAGTTGTTGTTTTATCTTCACATGTTTTAAGATACTTTCATCCATAAAATTGTCTGTTTGAGATTCAAAAAAATGGTAACCGAGTACACAAAATATTTTATTATTTTGTATTGGTTCTGATGTAGACTGTGGTACATAGTTGGAAGCATTTGGTTGAAGTAGATATTTCTTGTTTTGATTCTTTTCAAATATTAAGAGTGTCCTGAAGAAGATAAATATTATATGGTAATTTAACCCCAGGTGCAGCTGTGTTTTGATATAGATCCTAACTTTGTGCATCGTTATGTGCTGTGGAAGCCTTCATAATTCAATCATTTGTATTGTCCACCATGTCCCAGATATGGGTGTTTTATTTATTAGAGTACGTTGCATTGAATAATGAATAATGTGCGCATTTCTATTCTGATTTGTTATCTAGTTTGATAAATTATATGCCTACAATATACGCCACAGTTTTGGAAAAGAAGGCAAGAGGACTGACTATACCCCATTTAGCTGCATGAAGATCATTCTGTCAAACCCGCCAAGTCAAGGGGATTATCACGGTGAGTTCACAAGTAGGTCACTGTCTGGTGCTGCTTGAATGGATCTTTGAAGGTAGGAATAGAAAACATTGTTTGACTGGGTTGCCAGCTAGGGTGTTGAGCATGCAGCCTCTGCCAGCCAGCGTTGTTCTGCTTCTGCTCCATTACACCTTTGCTCTTCCTTGCTTCTAATTGAGGTCAGCCAAGGGGTTTTCACTCATCCTGCACTTCACTGTGCACTGTTTTATTGCTGGCATCACATATGTTTGGCAACTGATTCATTCATTTCTCATGACAGAACAGTAATTCCCTTGCCTGCCAGCCTGACATTGGGCTGAAGCAATAGTATTCATTGTCCTCATCAAGTAATTCAATGTGTGCCCCAAATAGTATGTTAAATGGTGTTTGGGTTTCCTAAAATATTATTAGGGGCGGCACGGTGGCTCAGTGGTTAGCAGTGCTGCCTCACAGCACCAGGGACCCGTGTTCAATTCCACCCTCGGGCAACTGTCTGTGTGGAGTTTGCACATTCTCCCCATGTCTGCGTGGGTTTCCTCCAGGTACTCCAGTTTCCTCCCACAGTCCAAAGATGTGCAGGTTAGGTGGATTGGCCATGCTAAATTGCCTGTAGTGTTCAGGGGTGTGTAGCTTAGGTGGGTTATAGGGGGATGGGTCTGGGTGGGATGCACCAAGGGTTGGTGTGGACTTGTTGGGCCGAAGGACCTGTTCCACACTGTAGGGATTCTATGATTCTAAAACCATATGATGAGGACTTTTTAAGAGTATTACATAAAATTAGGTAATATGAAGTTGGAAGTAACATATTACCTAGAATTCAGGTTATATAATGGACCAAAAAATAGGAATAATTGGATTATTTTCAGGTTGACAGGCTGCAACTAGTGGGGTACTGCAAAGGTCAATGCTGGGGACTCCTATTTACAACCTGTATCACTGACTTGTGTGAAGGGACCAAGTGTGATATTGTATAACCAAATTTGGGAACAATTAAAAAAAATTATACTGTTAATTTTTTCATCTTACTCTAATCAGGGTAGATGCAAAAACACTAAAATGGGAGCATCAAATTATGTTTGTGATCAGTTGAGGCATTGCCTTGGACAATACAACCAATCAGAGAAGATTTGCCAACTCATCATTACCCTTTCTCATGCCTTGTAAATTTTGAAACTTGGCTTTGTTACATGCACCCTGATGAGTGCAAGACAGCATTTCTTCACAGCATGCCTCTATTTTTCAACAATGCTCTAGTTCTACATTACCGAGCAACTGTGTCAACTTTGCTAATGTTACAAAGTTAGGCAGGAAAGTAAGCAGTGGGAAGGATGTACAGAGACTCTGAAAACGTTTTAGATTCAGCTTTCACTGATTCTTCTTCAGCTTCCAACTGTCCTTTTGTCTCCAGTTTTGTACTTCCAGCTGTTCATGAACCCTTGTGCTTCTAGTTCCCTTTATTTCAAAATGTTAAGTCCACCTTCACCACCAAATGCCCCCTTTTCTGGAATTCATTATTTCAAAACCCTCTGTCTTGCCTGTACGTAAGATCTAACTGTTGACTCTGTTTCTTAGTCATATCTTCTGTTGGCTGGTTTCTTTACTTTGACTACGCTTGACTGTGAAGCACCTTGGCAGTTTTGTTTGAGCCAGGCTGTATGGTGGTCTGATCATTGAATATTAAATTAATATATAGCCCTGTACTGATAATTTTATTTCTATGTTACTCTGTTTTCAGGTTGTCCATTCCGTCACAGTGACATCGAACTTCTGAAGCAGAAACTACAGACCTATAAAATTCCTCCTGCAGGAATTACTCAGGTGAGCGGTTCCACTGTATGACCTCCAAGCCATCTCATTTCTGTTCATATCTGCTTCTTATTGCCATTTTCTGATCAATTGTTCAGATGCAGCACACCATGTTGCAGAATATTGAAAGTGAATCTTATAAACAAACTTTTCTTTGTTCTTAAGATGTAGACATCATTGGTAAGGTCTACATTTATTACTCATCCCCATTTGTCCTTGAATGGAGTGGCTTGATTGGCCTTCTCAGCGGGTAGTTTTGTGTGTCTGGACCAGGTAAAAGTGGCAGATTTTCTTCCCTGAAAAGGCATTAGTGAAGCAGATGGTTTTTACTGTAATCAGTGATGGTTGTGATGGTTACCATTATTTGAGACTAGCTTTTAAGTTGAATTTAAATTCTTCCAGCTCCCTTTGTTGGAAACAAACTTAAACCTCCTCTTTTACTTTGACTCTTGTTACTCCACACACAATTCTCCCTCCTCTTGCTAGAATGTACATGTTGAATTTACCTTTAGTCCATAGTTCCCAGGGGCACCCAGTTGTTTTTGAGATATTGTTGGAGAAAGAGATTACAACCAAAGGGAGAAGATTCAAAATTGTACTTTTTGTAATGGATGGAATGGAAGGGATTGTTCTATAAATTGCTAAAATTGATCAAGGCTCCTGTCTCTTAGATACATTTTTTGTCCAGTTATTTTGCTGAACCACATCTCTTGACTATGGAAAATCTTCATAATGATCCAGTTGGGGTGTTTATGTTGATAGGGTACATAGAGAGAAACTGTTTCCTCAAGTGGGGCTGTCTGTATTAACATAGCTAGTTAGTCCACAACAAGCTTAAAATTTGAGCTATGTGGCTTAGAAGTGATATTAGGAAGCACTTTTTCACACAAAAGGTTGTGGAAGGGAAACAAATTGCAGTAAGAAATCTGGGACTGGAGGTCAATTGAAAATGTCAGCACTGAGATTGATGGATATTTGTTAGGCAAAGATATTAAGAGTAACAAACCAAGGCAGGTAGTTGAAGTTGAGATGCAAATCAGCTGTGCAATAATGGATCAGTGAAATAGGCTCAGGGGAGTACACGCTTAGCCTTGTTCCTATATTCTGGCTACAGTCATTGGAAAGAATTAAGTTATGCAATTGTTTTATTTTCAGAAAAATAAATATAGATCTGGAGCATAAGGGTGCAATTTGATACTGCCGTGACTTTCCCGTTGTGACACATTCTGTCACTAATTGCCTCATGAAAGGGCACATCTGATCTTGAGAGCACAGATGCTGTGAATCTTGAAGGAGAAAGTGTTGTGAATGGACAGCTGCTTCTTATAAATCCTGCTGTTGTGGTGACCCTGAAAAAGAATAAAGGGCTCAATCTTTCAAAAATAATAAGCAACAAGCCAACAAATCCCTAGTGTGTAACAAAGATGAAATGCTTTTCATCAGAAATTCCTCTAGGAGTTCCTCACCTCCTTCCTTCCTTTTGCCCTTTCAGAAGTATTAAAAGAGTTGTGCTAGCTTATCTTTTAACAGCTGCCTCAACAGTTTGAGTGAATTTCCATGTTGATTAATGACTCTGGCTCTTGTCAAATTTTTCCTTCTCTTTGGTTAATTAATTGCACAGTGCCAATTCCAACCAGTCCAGTCTTAGTGTTGAAATGTAAATCAAATTACTCCAAGTCTTGGCACTGAGAAAAAAAAATTACTGTTTTCAAATAATTTGGAGCTTGTTCAAAATCAAACTATACTATTGGAGGAGGCTTATGTGGAGCATTAATAATGGAATCTGGACTGAGTGGTCGCTTCCTGTACTGTAAAATTCTCCATTGTGTTTCTAGTGTTATTACTTGTGAATACAGTATGGTGCACCTTTTTTCTACAACTTCTGCAGGAGTACAATGTATCACTATGATTCGCTCATAAATTGGATATATAGGTTTGATCATAACCAAGATATCTTGCAAATGTTATTCTTCAGTAGGAGAGCAAAAACAACGAATTGAGCAGAATTTATCTGTTTTGCTTCCTCTATCTTTTCCCCCTTTGAGTGAAATGTGTCATTTCTCAATGAGGGGAACAACTCAAAACTTGCTCCTCAGCTCGCCCAACTGAGTAAGATTGAATAATTGGACATTGACCCAAAATGTTCAGCTTGGGAATCAATATTTTGATTGTAGATTTATAAAGCTTTTACCAGTAGTAACTGTTTGTAGATATTTTCTATGATTTGATTCTCTGCACTGTCAGCTCAGCTGATTTGGTTTCATTGTCATATTCAAGTCATAAGCTTTTGTGTTCAAGCACGTCAAGGCTTGGGATTGCTGCATTTTCAGGAGTGCCTTTTGACTGAGATCTTAAACCAAATCTACTTGTACAGTTGGCTATTTTTTAAAAAGAATGTCTTCACAGAAGGATAGGTAATTGTGACCAACATACATTACCCCCTCAACCAGTAACACCAAAAAACAGATTGAATGCTATGAGGGTCAAGTGTTATTTTTGAGATGATTTACTTTGAGTGAGTTATACCTAGATGTGGAATCTGTGGGTCAAGCTGCTTCTGTAGTAAGTACCAAAACAATGTAGAAACAAACTTGAGATGTGTTCACTGCAGTTAAGAAGGTTAAAAAGGTGTGATGGAAGTTTTCAAAGTATTAGTGGGAAATGATAGTGTAAACTATTTGGAAACTCTAGGTTTGGAGGACAAGCCTAAAAATTAGAGCCACACCTTTCGGGGTGAAGTTTGAAACCCTCTTTTCTAATTGGCAGTTCACTTTATCTTTTTTCTAATCAACCTGATCATAGATATTATAACACAGCTCTGGAACAGGTTGTACTTGAACCTGAGTGTTTTGATCCAGGGACAGGGACACTAACACTGCTCTGCGAGAGGGCCTGGCAGTTTATTCTAGACTACTTGTTGGTTTTAAATCTGAGATTAATGATGTATTAAGGGAGATGGGGCACAAGGAGGTATATAAAGCTAGTTTGCATGATCTCATCAAGTAGTGGAACTGGCTTTAGGGCCAAATGGTGGTCTCCTGTTCCTCGTTTGTGATACAATGGATTCAGATAATTAGTTCCAGCTGGAGGAGGTGTATTTGCTGCTTGGTTTTTGATATCTCTGACTGAGGCACTAATCTCAACGATTTTTTATTTGAACACGACGATGGCTCATTATTTGAGGTGACGAATGTAACTGCTTTTAAGGGGAAGTACACCGTAAATGTAAATGAGAATAAAAGGAATATAGCGATATGATGACAGGGTGACAAGATGACTGGTTTGACTGCCTTATAAGTCTTTGGGGTTCACTTTAATGTTAATTGCAATTATAGACAAAGCTTTGAAAGAGTTAACCTAAAGTTTACCAGCCCACATTAGTTCTAAGACCTGTTCCAGGTATAAATGTTTTACAAGTTTTCCAGAACTTAAGTTTTTTATAACAAGTACAAAATGCATGATATTTAATAAAAACAGTGGTTTTCAGCTTCTCCACATTTGGATAGCAGTCTGCGAGACTGGTTGCCTGGGACAGGTCTCTTGTTCTGTTGATTGAAGTTTTCTTTGTATCTTCAATTCTTTGTCCTTTTGCAAGGCACCACAAAACCTTGGCCTTATTAACCCTTGCCAGTCATTTCCCCTCTGTGTGATCAAATCCATCTTGAACTCTGATTAGCTTCTTAATGCATGAACAGTTTATCGTCAGTCTCTGTTCCTCTTACCTAATTGGCTTCTTTGAAAGTAATGATCGTCTTAGTGACATGAATCCCTACTGTCTCTTCATTCATTCTTTAGCATGCCGATCATTTTACAGGATCATCCCTTTAATTCTTTTCCCTGTTAGTTTACCATTTCCTTATGTTTGCCCAGTAAACAATTACTACATCTGTTTAGAGTATGTGCTGTCACTTCCTAGTGATTAACTATACCTATCATCCCAGTTTATAGATCTGAATGTTCTCCAAATTCTTTCGAGATCCTTAACTACAAGAACTGTGTGATTCCATAATAACTAGTTAATGCTGCAAAAATCATACAAACTAATGCACATAGGCCTATTCCATACTATAACTTAATTATTTTTAAAACGAAGCTGTTTCTTTGAGTAAAACCATTTTACCTCAAAGCATTTTCACGTGTCAGCCTAAGTTTACAATAGCTTGAGCCATAAAACAGTAGACATATGACATAGATTGATGCCCTAACTTTTCACCTTGCCGTACAGCTTCCTTTCCTATGTTTTACACCTGATCATAATTAAAGAAATTAAAATTTAATTCTTCACTTGCTTAATCAAGTCAAAATGATTAATTACTGAAAAATAATTCAATCCCACAGCCTATTACCGTACTGCAAGGTTTTGTGAAATTCTGGAAACAGGAAATTAAAATCAACAAAGAAATGAAAACAGGCTTAGAGATTTTGTTTCATGGTGAGTTTGTGGCTCTAATCTCTGTTGCATCTGACTAGGGATTAGCATGCCAAAATTTAAAACTAGGTAGAAACCCTGTTCCACAAATTTGGTAGGAAATATCACTTTGAAACACCTTCTATAGTCCCCACCAGAAATTATATTAATTAAGTGATACGGGATATCTGTTCTTCAAGTTGCTGGCTGATTTACACATTAGAAATGATGAATATCATTGAACACATTTTATCTTTTCAGCAAAACCTGGATCCACTTCTTTTGCTAAATTGCTACATTTTAGAAATAAGTGAACTAGTTTGGACTTGATGTCACATTTTCACCAATTCTCATCCTTAGTCTTTCATTTCTGTCTTCTCCCCCGATATCTCAAATTGCCTCTTACAAAGTTGACTTTTACAATAGGTAGCAATATGAGTAATTAATCATTTCTTGATATGTAAAATGTGAAATCCAGCTTTGCGTTATCTTATGCATTAAAAGTAAATGCATTATGAATTATTAACTGCATGCCCCGGTACTAGACATTATATGTGAGACTTGTAAACAGCATGGATAGAACAGTTGCTGGCTCCTTTTCTGA